CAGCATAATGATGCAGCTAATGACGATGATGATGATGACGATGATGATGATGTCGATGATGAGAAAAATGATCCTGGACAATGTATAGAAATCCAGAGGAAGCCTTACGTATCTTCGGGATGGCTTAGGATGCCTTTGGAAATCCGTTGGAGGAGGAGGAGGAGGAGGAGGAGGAGGAGGATCCCCAGGAACACGTTTCCAAAACAATTTCGATTCGTACCCCCAGGTTGTTTATGTGTACAAAAAAAGATTACTTGCTCAACCGTGCTCAACGTGGCACGTGTAGGAAGGAGTCCATGACTGATCGTTTGCGGTGGTGGAACACAGCCGGGACACACACACACACACGTGCGGGGCGGGAGGCGCATCGAGGAGGACGAACAGGATGTCTTAGGAAATCACGATTGTTTAGAAAAGCCATCACATATCAAAATAAATAAGTGCATACGATGCCTAGGGAATCCATCGGACACAGTGGGAAATCTTCGATTGTCAACATAATAAGATCGTTCACAATTTCGATTCGCAATTTTCCCCCGCGGTAATCAAGATCGGCCTTGCCGCCATTTTTCGCCAACCTAATCTGTATTGCCCGGGGAAATTCAATTATCAGGGGTCACATGGGGGGGGTGATTTAATATCTGGGGCAGGCGGCGAGTGAACCAGAGCGAGCAGCCAGGATGAACAGAGAGATCTCTGGGAGCAAGGGTATGGCCTTGGAGGACCTCTCTTCGTTCGCTTGTCCCCGCTTTGGGTAGGGTCAGGCTCGGCACGCGTGGCTGGCTGGGGGGGCGCGTTGGGGGGGGGCCTAAGTAAGCACGACCCGAGAGCCGTCTGTCCCGTACGCCGCGCCGGCGGCAATGTCGGGGGGGGACGTTCGGAATTTGGGAGGGAGGCCGCCCCGTTGCCCTGCTGGGGCACAGGGGTCGCCCGTTCACTTTCTGAAGGGGGCCTGCGCTCCGGGCGATGGCAAGCAAGCGGGCCAAACTGGACCTGGAGCGCGGGTGGTCGCGGTTGGAGCGACCGCCTTGCGGGCGCATGCCGCTGGACCCGCGCGCAGCGCCGGAACCGCAGGCAGCGGGCGACGCGGCCTCGCCGCCGGAGGCACTTGTGCACCAGGGGCGCGGCCAGGCCAGCAGCAGGAGTGCACCGTGAGACCTTTTCCTCTGCGGGTGCCAGCCCCTGCCCGCGCCGGCGCAATTGGAGCTGTCGCCGTGCGGCCGCCCGCCACTCCGCCCGCGCCTTGCACTGGGGTCGCCGACGGACGAGCCGCTCGCGCGGCAGTGGCTTCCCGCACGGCAGGCGCCCGCTTGAGGCACTTCTCGGAAGCCGCCACTAGCGCGTATCCCCTGCGGGCGCCAACCGCTGCCCCCGCCGGTCGTTTGTTGGGGCGCGAAGCCGGCCAGGGGGATCGCGGCGGCGCTAAGCTGGCCAGGGCTGACGCCACCGCGAGAAAGCGCGCGCCCCGCAGCGGCCTAGCCGTGGGATTGCGGCGGAAGGCGACCGGCCGCTGGAAGGATAAGCGGGACGAGGGCATCGCGCGCGCCGCCACATGTTGGGGCAACATTTTGACGAGCGCGGGCGGCCCCACGCAGGAGCTGCTCGCCGCGATGCCATCTGCAGCGGATGCTCCGGCGGCAGGGCTACACCACGCTGCAGCGGCACGCGACCAACGTCATGACATTGCTGCGTGGCACAGGGCAAAGCGCGAGGGCTCGCCATTCGCGGCGCTACCGATCCGCGAGAAGGCGGCCCTGCGCCTGATCGATTACATCAACAATCTCACTGACGCGGACGTCAACGCGACGGTGCCGAAAGCACGCTTGGCTTCGCTGGCGTTCCTGTCCACGCTCGCCCAGATCAGCGACGGGCTACCCACGGAGCACGTCGCCGCCAGCACGGCGGCAGCCGCTCACTACCGGGAAATTGCGACGGGGCACAGAGCCCGCCCCTGTGCGGCGGAGCGGATCCGCACTTCTGGAATAGCACGTCGCCCCCATCTGCTGTGTCGTGTCGCGAGTCACAGCGCGGAGGGAGCTCTAGAAAGTGTACGCGTCCTTGCGCAAGCACGTCAGCATCTTGGAAACATCGAACGCCTGGCGCACCGCTGTTGGCCAGCGTGGCTTCCTCAACGGAGCCGCGCACAAAACCAAGGCCTCGGGAGCCACCAGCATGCGCCTCAGCCCAGAGACGCCGCGGTCCGCGCCGTTGCGAGGCGTTTGCCCAGTGCTTTCGCAGTGGGCGCGAGGATGCCTGACTGCGCCGAGCTCGGCATCGCGGATCGGGAATGCGCCGCGCGGGCCCCTTGGGCCGCTGGCGCCAGGCCGGCCCCCCCGGGGGCCACAGAACCAGGCGAATGGGCCACGCAGGTCCGACGCGGCTTGCAGGAGGCTGTCATCCCGCGCGAGCAGGCGGCGGGTATCGCGCTCCACTCGGGCAATAAAACCACGTGGGCGGGGACGGGCACGTCGGGGAAGTTTTCGGAAGCGGACCTCGCGATACTCGGCCACCACCGCAGCGCGGGAGTGGGCAGGTGCGCGCGAGCATGCAACATGTCGGAGCTCCCCGCGCCAATCTGCAAACCCGTCCCCTTGCTGGAAGACATCGCAGCAGGGAGGTTCCACCCCGACGCGCCACCAGGCTTGTAGTGGGGTGTGGCGCCACAGCAGCCCGTGCCTGCAGCTGCCAGCGCGCCCAAACGCCGCCCGGAGCCCAGCCGGCGCCGCCAGCGAAGACGCGCCCGCAGCCCCGCCACAGCAGCGACAGGTCCGCCGGGAAGCAGAGGCCCCAGCCGTTGTCCGCGGATGTTGCCTTGAAGTCGCAGCTCGGGTTCATCGATGGCGACTGGCACCAGCCCAGCTGACCTTGGTAATTGCGTCCACGCGGCGATCAATGCTCCCGCGGAGGACCCCAAGAGGAGGCGCACAGCCCGCTTGAGGCTCCAGTCGCCCCATGGTGTCGCGACAACCATGTGCGACGGCGCCCTGCAGAGCGCCGCGCGGACACATGAGTGCCCCCTCGGCGCCGACCTCGTCACCTGCAAAGTATGCAGGGCGAGAGTGGCCAACGGACGTGGAGGAGCGCCTTAGGCTTGGCGTCGCCGCTCCCAATGCGAGGCAGAGCGCGCCGGCCATCCAGCGGAGCCGGCCCAGTCGGGCGGCAGACCCTGGGACACGCGAGCAAGCATGGAGCGGGGAAAAAATACGGGGGACCATAGTCATGAAGTTGTAACGAAGCCGAGGATGGCGCGTCCCCGTCGTCGGCCTGCGCCCCCCGGGCCCCTCGCGCCTGCGCCGCGGTGCGCGGCGGCTGGTTGACCGCCCTCCCTGGGCGGGCATTGAATCAGCCGCATGTCGTCGGCCGGGCCCGGAAGGCGGAGGGGCGCCGCGAGGGGAAGCCCACGCAGCCAAGAGGAGAGGCAATATGCCGTTGCCTCCCTAGAGCGGCGATGGTTGCTGGCTGGGTCCACATCTGTGGTCCGCGCTCTGGGGCCCCCCCCGCCGTTCCGCCCCCGCGGTTGGGGGTCATCCCTGGCTGGGGCCCGCGGCGAGGGGTCGAGGGGAGGAGGAGAGGAGGAGGAGGAGGAGGAGGAGACGACGAGCCGCCCCTTGGAGCCCCCATTGGACGCTCTTGGAGCGTTCTTCGGGCTGTGTTGGGGCACTCTCGGGGCCCTCTGAGGAGCCTTGGAGGGCCCCTTGAAGGGGGCCATCTTGGGGGTTATCGATCAAAGGATGGGTGGTCCTCGATTTCCCTCCCCCATGGGGCCATCAAACTTGCCTCTTGGGACGCTCTGGGACCCCCTTGGGGCTCTCCTGGGCCAGCTTGGGGGCATCTCGAGGCCTCAAAAGCGTATCGGAAGCAACACGGCGAGATGGCACAAGTCACAAGTCATTGATTTCCATTTGGTTTTTTTGCATGATGTTGGCCTCTTGGCAGGGTCCGGAGTGACCTCCGAGGGCACTTGGAACCGTTTTGTGGCCCTCGTCGGGCCTGTTGGAGGTATGTTGGAAGCGATCTTGGACTAACGTTGGCTATCTTGGGCCGTTTTGGAGGCCATCTTTGAAGCATCGGAGGCCCTCTTAAAGCCATCTTGGGCCATCTTGTGCGCCATGCCCGCTCGCAAAACCCCCCACCAAAAACTCAGGGAGGGGAGAGGGAGGCTACACCTCCCCGAAGGGAAGAGGCGTTCTAGAAGAGGAACGAAATAACTCGTTAGACCATCTTCGCCCAAAAGGCCGATTGGATTTATGTAGTGGCCTCCAGCCCACCCCGCCACCGTGTCCGGGTCGTGTATTGGGAGGCGTGTTGAGAACGTCTTGGAATTATCTTGGGGGTCTTTTGGAGGTATAGTGTGGCATCTACGTTGCGTGTGGGCGGTATCCAGGGCCGTATTGATGGAAATTGCTCGACATGGGATCCGAGTATCCCCTCATGGGTCCGTGTTGGCCCCCCGTCCTACGCCTTTTTTGGGAGCATGGGGGCAGTATTCGGGCGATCTGGGGGGTCCCTTGGGCCGTCTCGGGCGCTACTGGAACCGAAAGCCCGAGCACGCCAACGACTTACAATTATGGCTTGGCAGGGCGTCCATAATGGCCCAAGATGCACACAAGAGGGTTCCAGGACGGGCCCTGAGGGTTTTCGAGAACATGAGTGGTCGCTGAGTTGGATCAGTGACCCGGCGGTATCCTGGGGTCGTCCGCTCTTCCAGCTGCTCCCAGGACGCCCTGTGCAGTCTTGGACGATGACGGGCAGGAGGAGGACGAGGCGGAGGAGGGATGGAAGGAGGAGGGAGGGAGTAGGTAGGTGAAGGAAGGAGGAGGAGGAGGAGGAGGAGGAGGAGGAGGAGGAAGAGGAGGAGCAGGGGAAGAGCAGGAGGAGAAATGAGATGGAGGAGGAGGAGGAGGGGGGGAGGAGAGGAGGGAGGGGCTGGGTGAGGTGGAGCGAGAGACGGGGAGTCGCAGGAGGAGGAGGAGTCCGGCCCCCCTCCCCGCGCGGAAGAGGCCACAAGGACATGCATGACGGCATGACCGTGGCCGTCAAGAGCATGACCGTCGGGGAGGCCAGGCGTCTCTCTGGCCTGGAGGAGGGGGGAGGTCAAGGAGGGGGAGGAGTCGGCCTTTCAAAGAGGAGGAGGAGGAGGAGGAGGAGGAGGAGGAGGAGCAGGAGCAGGAGGAGGAGGAGGAGGAGGAGGATGAGCAGGAGCAGGAGGAGGGGGGAGGAGGAAGGAGGAAGAGGAGGAGGAGGAGAGCAGGAGCAGGGAGGAGGGGGGGGAGTCGGCCGTTCAAAGATTGGGCCATGAGGGATGGGGCCCTAGGGATTGGACGTGGATCACAAGCCAAACCTTCACTGTTTGAGGCGTTCGTGCCCCATCTTGGAACGAGGTGTCAAGACGACCTACGCCGTCTTTTGGCCTCTAGAGGCTCCCCTGGCCTCCATCTGGGAACGGAGGGTTTGAGCGAGGTGGGAGGAGGAGGAGGAGAGGAGGAGAGGAGGGAGGAGGAGGAGGAGGAGGAGCAGGAGGAGAGCAGAGCAGGAGGCAGGAGGAGCAGGAGCGAGGAGGAGGAGGAGGAGGGGGAGGAGGAGGAGGAGGGAGGGGAGAGGAGGAGGAGGAGAGGGAGGCGGGAGAGGGGTTGGAGGGAAGCGAAGGAGGAATGAGGAGAAGGAGGAGGAGGAGGAGGAGGAGGAGCCGCAACAGTGGCAGGAGCACGAGCACGAGCAGGAGCAGGAAAGGAAAGAAAAGAGATGAGGAAGGAGAAGGAAGCGCGGGGATCGAGAGTGAGGAGGAGGAGGAGGAGGAGGAGAAAGATGGAGATGATGGGGCATAACGGGGAGGGGGAGGGAGGATGACGAGGTGGAGATGAGGCAAGAACAGAGTAGAGGAGAGGGTGCAGAGATTCAGAGCAGAGAGTGAAGAGCGGGGGGGGGACCTAACATGTAACGGGAGCGAACGTAGAAGAGAGCAGAGGGTAAAGGATAAAGAGTGTACAGAGCAGTGGTTATGTAGCAGAGGGTTGAGATAACCGCATTTCTCATCTTCCGTTCTCGCTCACCACCACCACCAACCAGTATGCTGGTTTTGCATGCTTCGGACGAGCAACTTCTTGTGGTCTTATACGGGGTGTTTCTTTACTTCTGATTTCACCGCTCGAAGTCTTGCCTCACACCGGGCGAGGGCATCCTGCTTCTGTGACAGCGTGCGTTGGCCCACGATAAGCTCTATTGCCGAGTCCCCAAAGACGGTCCCTAATGCCGCCCTCCAGGGCAGCTGTTCGGCCGGCACATCGGCAGAGACGGGGCTGGCATTGGCCGGAGGTACCCAGAGCGGAGTTTCCCGTGGATACGGCGATGCGATCTATAGATCGCCACCTGGGCCCGTTTCGCGCCGCCCGCGGGCGCCTGCGGTTGAAAGTCTCGCCCCGTGCTGGGCCCGGTCGGGCGCCCGCCGGTACTGTCTCGTCGTCGCGGCTGCCGCCGCCGTCGCTCTCGTCGCCATTGTCGTCGTCGTCGTCGCATGATGGCCCGGGTTCGGTTCGGTTCGGTCCGGTTTTGCGCGCCTTCGTGTCGGTTCGGCCGGTCCGGTTCAGATCGCCGTCAGGTTCGGTCCATCCCGTTGGGTTTGGCCGGTTCGGTTCGGCCGGTCTGGTTCGGCCGCTCGGTTCGGCCGGTTCGGTCGGGTTCGGCCGGTTCGGTTCGGAACCCTCTGGGCCCCCTCCGGGCCCCTCCGGGCCTCCTCCGGGCCCCCTCCGGGCCTCCTCAATGCCTCCTATATATATAAGCCCCCTCGGGGCCCCCTCCAGGCCCCCTCTGGGCCCCCTCCCCCTCAGGGCTCCCTCCATGGCCTCCTCGGCCCCCCTCTGGGCCTCCCCCGGGCCCCCTGCGGGCCCCTCGGGGCCCCTTCCGAGCTCTCTCCAGGCCCTTCCTCCAGGCCCCCTCCGGGCGCCCGTTTCGGACCCCCTTCCGGGCCCCCCCCTCCCTCCTTCCCGCTCTCCCTCCTTCCCCTCTCCCATTCCTCCTCCTCCTCCTCCTCCTCCTCCTCCTCCTCCTCCTCCTCCTCCTCCTCCTCCTCCTCCTCCTCCTCCTCCTCTCACCTCCTCATCACCTCCTCCCCTCCTCCTCCCTCCTCCTCCTCCTCCTCCTCCTCCTCCTCTTCCTCCTCTCCTCCTCCTGCTCCTGCTCCTGCTCTGCTCCTCATCCTTTCCTCCTCCTTCCTCCTCCTCCCTCCTCCTCATCCTCCTCCCCCTCCTCCTCCTCCTCCTCCTCCGCATCATCATCATCAACATCATCAGCATCATATTGCTGCCCGCGGCTTTTTGTGGCTCTCTTTCGGGCCGCACTACCATTCTCAAGCTTCTCAGGTGTCCTGCCTGGAATGCAGGACCTCGCCCACCACGCAGCGGACGTCCTGAGGTTTGGGGCGCAGGCGCTTGGGGCCTCGCTGGTGGCGCGCGCTTCTGCGCCCAGTTGCGGGAACTGCTCCCCGCATTTGGCGTGCCCTGCGCCGCCGGCCCTGGCTTGCCCTTCCTGCGCGTGCGCGGGCGCTGGCGGCCAGTTGGTGGAGCCCTCGTGCGCGGGCCTCGTGGCGGCCTACGCGGTGGCCGCCTGCACGGTCGGGCCCGCCGTCGGCGCTGTGGCAGGCGCCTTCTTGGCGCGCCGCGCGCTCGCACCGCCTCTCGAGCCTGTGGTTGGCGAGCTGCCCACGGAGGTGATCGACATCGCCGTCCTCGCTGCCGAGCAGGTGCGCCTTGCTCGCGCCAGAGCCCCAGCGCTGCAGTGATGGCGGGGAGCTTCCACGCCATACGCTACCGCGTCGGCGGTGTGGCCCTGTGGCACGAGCGTCTGGTACTCGGGGTCTCAGCGGGGTTCGCCTACGTCGTCACGCCCGACTTCGACGACTACGACGAGCCGATCGTGGTTGGGCCCGACGTGCGGGCGGTGCTGCCGTTGGCTGGCCAGGGCGACACGCCTCCCGCGCTGGTCGGCGCCGCCGTGCATCGCTTTCGGCGCCTGCCGTCCGCCGCGGAGCTGTGGGCCGCCGTGGGTCGCTCTGTGGCTGCGGGCTACCCAATGCCACCAGATCCTCTTCCTCTGGCTCTCTCGGCGGCCAACGCGGCGGGCGCGCCTCCAGGACCCTTCCTTCTGGCCGACCCTGCTGCCGCGGCCGCGGCGCCGCCGGCGCCGCCTCTCGCACTTCCACCTGCGGCTGGTCCTGCTGCTCCCGTACCGCCTGGCGCCGTCCCAGGAGTCGCGGCGCTCGCCGCTGCGCTGGGACCCGTGCCACCTGGCCCTGCCGCGGCGCCGCCGCTGGCGCACGTGCCTGGAGCTGCTGCTGGCGGTCCTGCCGCGGTCGCTCCGCTCCCCGCGCCCGCTGGCGATTTCAGGGTGCTGCCGATGGCGATCAACATGCGGGGGGAGCGTGAGCGGAGGTTCGGCGAGACGGTGAACGGCCTCTCCGAGACCGAGGTGCAGGGCTGGCCAGTCCAGGGCCCACGGACGCTTCTCTGGTGCCTGTCCTTCATGTCCACCATGGCGGGAACTCCCACCGCGTGGCATCAGCGCTGGCTCACGTCCATGGCGTTGGCCGACGACGACGAGCACGCCAAGCTCCACGAGACCTTGTGTCGGGTCCTGGACCTCGCCGTGGTCTACGATCAGCTGCAGGTGGCAGAGATGGCGTCGTTCGAGATCGTCGCACGTCAGCTCCAGCTGCTGGAGGAGCGGGTGTACGAGAGTCGGTCGCTGCCCCAGACGGCCGCCGCTCCCAAGGCCAAGTCTGGAGCTAGGAGTGGTGCGACGGCCGCGGCCTCCAGCATCCCCGAGACGAGCTACTTCCTCGGCGCGGGCGTCTCCAAGGCGAACCTGTGCATCTCGCCGAGGCTGCTTGAGCACATTGCAGATCAGATGCGGGCGGAGGCCGCCATCAGCAAAGAACGTCGCAAGGCACGTGAGGAGCGTGCCTTGCGGGCGCCATGACGTCTGAGAAGTCCAGGCCTGGCTGCGGGGCGCGCTCCAGTGGCGCCAGTCAGGCACATTGCCCCATCGCTGCTCATCAATGGCGGCAGCGAGACATTTTCCCTCTCCGTCCTATCCCTGTGGAGCGACGATCTGGTATCGCGTCGATGGGAGGTTCAGCCCGCGGACGGGCTGCAAAAGGTGCTGCCTGGAGAGAGTGGTACAACGATGCTGTGTCCACCCTCAACGACATGTACCACTGCGACCCTGATGACATGGTTGCTCCGCCTCCAGGTCTTCCTCCACGCGCTCGCAGCGACGCTGAAGAGTGCCTTGCTCAACAGTTTCGCGATTTTGAACTCCCCTCTGGATATTCCGAATCTCCTACCAGATGCGAGGCAGCCCTAGCAGAGTTGCTCGCGTCGGCGCCGGGGTACTCTGGTGAGTCTCGGGTAAGACCCTACGACAAGGAGCTCGTCTCCTGGCCGAAGCACGTGGCCCCCGTTCCCACGGCCGATCTCGTGTCCGACGCCGATCGTTCAACGTTGTCAGGGTGGAGGCAACAAATGCTACGTGACCCTGCGGAGACAGCCGCTCTCAGGATGAACTCGGGCATCGGGTCGCCATACGTGGATCCTCGCCTGCGGTTTCGCCCTCGGGAGTATGCTGATTTTTTGCTGCGCCTGGATCAGGCGGGCATGCTAGAGTGGGAAGTCGCCGAACGTCAGGCGGCGTACTCCACAGGTTTCTTCTTCGTCGAGAAGTCGAATGGCGTCAACCTGCGGCTCGTTTTTGATACGCGGGTGGCCAACATGTCCTTCTCTGCCCCTCCCTCTACGAGATTGCCGACTCCGTCGGCATGGAGTGCCCTCGAGGCGTCGAATGACTTCTACGTGGCGCAGGGTGACATCCAGTGCGCCTTTTATCACATGAAGCTGCCGCCCCAGCTGCACCGATACTTCTCCTTGCCAGTGGTCCCGAATCGGTACGTGGGTCTCAAGGTGATCAATGGTGTCAAGATCCCGACGAAGGCCTTTCTACAGCCGTTCGTGTCAGTGATGCCGATGGGTTGGTCGTGGGCTCTTCACTTCTGCCAGTCGGCTTTAACCACGGCCATTCGCGACGCGGGGATCGATGACGATGCGATGCTGGTGGGCGGTGCAGCACCTCGTCCTCTGCGAAACGATACCGACGTCATCGCAGCGGGTTACGTGGACAACTTCGCCACCGTGTCTCTCGATCCAGAGGTTGCCACCGCTTCGTGACAGGCCATCCGCGACGTGCTGGTGGCGAGGGGCCTGCCCGTGGACGAGTTCGCCCCCGCGGCGCCTCGCGTCATCTTCACAGGCCTCGACATCCTGGGCGACGTGGGCGCCATCAGGTGCAAGGTGGATCGGTTGTGCAGGCTGCGCCAGGCCCTCCTCGGTCTACTCAGACGAGGCTATGCATCGCCGCTTGCGCTGTCCGCCGTGGTCGGTCATTGCACCTGGGGGATGATCACCAACAGGCCCATGCTGTCGATCTTCCATGCAGTCTACCGCTTCATGGGTCAGGACTCCCGTCGGGCTTTGCCGCTGTGGCCGTCAGTCGTCGCTGAGCTCCGCGCTGCTGCTTCCCTCATCCCTTTGTGGTGGGCTGATGTCAGGGCAGAGTGGGCGGCCACCACTTTCTGTAGCGACGCCTCTCCCTACGGCATTGGCGTCTGTCGCAAGACCGTTGAGCAGGACGTGGCTGCAGCCGCAGGGCGATTGTCGGAGAGATGGCGCTACCGCTTCTCCGATGCCGTGCGCGCTCGTGCGCGCGCTTTGGGAGTCGACCCGAATGTTGTGTTGGAAGCGGCCGTGAGCAAAAACTGCCTCAAAGATTGCGAGCAGTGCCCGAGGCCTCCCGAGACCCATAGCAAGCCCCCGCTTACCGCATCATCATCACATCGAGGGATCGACGACGTTTCGCTGGACGGCTTCGACGAGGTTCCCGACTCGATCACGGCTCTCGACGGCTGGGCTACGATACACAGCGCACGTCATGCTAGGTTCGGTCTGGACATCATGCGATACGAGGCGGAGGCTCTCGGATTTGCGATGCGACACTCGGCTCGGTCTGGGCGGCTTCGGCATCATCGCATCCTGTTCACCGTCGACAATTTGGCTCTAGCCCCCGCTGCTGGCAAGGGACGTTCTGGCGCCCGAGGGCTTCGTGATCCGCTACGTCGCCTCTGCGCCCTGTCGGCAGCCTCAGGCATTCGCCACGCAGTGCGATGGATCCCTAGCGAAAGCAATGCCGCTGACTCACCGTCGAGGACAGGCTTCTTTGTCGGGCCGACCTTTGAGGAGTACCAGGCGGCGGCCCCCCGAGCTTTGCCGCCACCGAGCTTCGACATCGACGGAGCTGAGGACCAAGACGCCGCCAAAGCCAGAACGGCTCGGGCAGGCAGCGCTCTCGGTCGTCGAGTCAGCCGCCGCGTCGGACACGACCATGGTCAACGACTGGGGCGCGGTCAAGAAGTTCGAGGAGTGGAGCCGTCAGACGCCCCAGACCATCACCGCAGCGGCGGAGGTCGTTGTCATCCTAGTTACCTACTTCGTGAACCTCTTTCTGGTCAGTTTCGACGATGCTACGGGCCGAGTCGTGCTCGCCTCAGTGAAGCACTACCTGCGCCCGCCTATGACGGGCACGGCGCTGTCCACGGGCGCGGCTCGCGCCTTGACAGGCTGGCGGAAGCTCGCGCCCCCGCAGATGCGACCCTCTCTTCCACGGGCGGCGATGGCCTCCATGGTGGGCGTCCTCGGTTCGTGGAAGCTCTTCGGCATGGCAGTGTTCATCAGGCTGATGATCGACACCTACCCGACGACCAACGCGGCCTATCGCCTGTCAGCGGGCGGCCTTCTTCGACCAAGACCCGATGCCACTCTCGGATACGGATGTCTGGCCCTGATCGTCTACGGCGCCTGCTTCGATCGCCCTGGGAAGACAGAGGATCGGCATGGGGGTGCGGCCGACGACTGCCTACCTCGTCGTCGCACCAGGGAGGAGGTCAAGGACCGCGGCCAGTGGAGAACGGACCCGAGCCTCTCCCGCCACACCAAGAGGGCTCGAGTGCTGCAGCAGATTGCCACTTTAGACCAGATCCTGATCGGCCGTGGGCACGGGGTGGACTCGCTGATGGACGATCTCATGCTGCAGACCACCACCACGGGCGTCTTCTCTCTGCGACGGCCGCTTGCCGCGACGCCGACACCGCCAGCGGTCAGGCATCCGCCTCCGCAAGTGACAGCGCGGTGGGCCTCCGCCTGACACGGATTTGGCGTGCAGCCAGACGCGCGGCGACGCGGTCCAGGCACCTGCCCGCCTTGGTGATTGGCGGCGACGGCGGCGCGGCTCGCGCGCTGCAGCGCCTCGGCTTCGGCGCGCTGCACTTGAGCGTGAGACGCCAGGCCACTGATGACATCACAGATCCTTTAGTGATGAAGCGTGTGCTAGGCTGGATCCGTGCAGGCTGCATTTCGTGCGTGTGGGTGGAGCCCGACACGACTACTTGGCTTCCTCAGAAGCCCGCTGTCCGTAGCATAGCTCGTCCCAACGGCCTGCCGATTTTGTCTAGTGCCCAGCTTCGATCAATTCACATTGCGAATCTATTTTGCAGTCAGTACGTGCGCCTCCTGTCACTACGTAGCAGCAATAAAGTTCCTGCCACGCTGTGTCATCCAGATGCGTCTTTTATCCGGGATGTCCCAGCCTGCGCCGCTCTCGTTAGCCAGTGTTCGTCTGCTGCTGTTTTTGATGCATGTATGTTTGCTGGCCGTGTAAAGAGAAGATTTCGATTGGTGAGCTGGCATGTTAAGGACATGAGTTCTCTTTCTGCTATCTGTTCGCCTGCCGACTCGCTCTGTTGTCGATCTGGGAAACGACATCTTGGCGAGCTCGGCATCCCATCTCTAGATCGTCAGGTCCGCAGCAAAGCGCTGCGGCCCCCCGTCAATGTTCTAAGATGTGCCTGCGACAGGATGGCTCTCAGTGTTGATTCGCTTCGCTACGTCGCTCAGCAGATCAAAGCTATGTGAAAATTCAGTCAATGCGGCTTTCAGCCAGTGTGATGGGCTAGCCTAAGTACCTGGTGCATGGCGCCAGCATGCTTCCGCCGTCCTCGCCTGTTGCCGTGTCCTTTGCACAAAAAGGGACCCCCTGGCCTCGAGAGTTGCCCACATATTGCTGCCCGCGGCTTTTTGTGGCTCTCTTTCGGGCCGCACTACCATTCTCAAGCTTCTCCCGCCCACCCTTTGTCCCGCTCTAGAATGCCTTTCCTGGCGCATGGCGCCAGCATGCTTCCGCCGTCCTCGCCTGTTGCCGTGTCCTTTGCACAAAAAGGGACCCCCTGGCCTCGAGAGTTGCCCACATCATCATCATCATCATCATCATCATCATCATCATCATCATCATCATCATCATCCTTCTCCTCGTCCTTCCTCCTCCTCCTCCTCCTCCCCCTCCTCCTCCTCCTCCTCCTCCTCCTCCTCCTCCTCCTCCTCCTCCTCTTCCCCCTCTTCCTCCTCCTCCTTCTCCTCCTCCCTCTCCTCCTCCTCCTCCTCTTCCTCCTCCTCCTCCTCCTCCTCCTCCTCCTCCTCCTCCTCTTCCTCCTCCTGGGCCTCGAGGGGGTCCGGAGGGGGCCCCGATGGGGGCCCGGAGGGGACCGGAGTGGGCTCCGCGGGGGCCCCGAGGGGGCCACGAAAGGCGATGAGGGGGGGAGCACGAGGGGGGGACACGAAGGGTGTTCGACTCTCTCGCGAGGCCCGCTGGCGGGGTCGCATCCGGTTTGGCCGGTTCGGCTCGGTTCGGCGGGCTGGTTCGGTCCGGCTGGTTCGGTTCGTCGGTCCGGTTCGGTCCGATTTTGCTGGTTCGGGTCGAGGTTTGGTACGGCCAGTTCGTTTCGAGGACCGGTTCTCGCTCGTCGGTCCGGTTCGGGGCCATCATGTCGTCGTCGTCGCTTTCTTCGTCGTCGTCGTCGTTCGGATGTTCTCAACGGTGTTGGGGGGCCGTCCTGGCCCCTCAGACTCTTGGAGTACCCGACCGCGGCTGGTCACCCCCGCGCGTATTTTCCGACCGCGATTGGCTGCTCCAGGACCATGCTGCTCCGAGGCGGCGGGGGTCTTCTGGGGGAGCCTCCCGCCCCTTGGGGGAGTCCCGCAGGCCTCGACGGCCGGCGCGTCGCCCGCGACCGTCGCCAGTCGTTGGTCGCTCGAGCCCGCTAGTGAGTTCCGGAGGCCCTGGCAGTGGTCGTCGCCCGCGGCCGCCGCCGCGTCGCCGCCGCGTCGCCGCCGCGCCGCCGCCGCGCCGCAGCCGCGCCGCCGCCGCGCCGCCGCCCGCGTCGCCCAGCGGTGCCCGGCGAGGTCGCCAGCTTCACTTTGGCGCCGTCGCGCATGCGCGCCGAGGGGTCGCTGGCGGGCGCGCTGCCGAGCTGCGGCGGCCAGGCGTCGGTGTGGGAGGTGCGCGGGGGGGGCCTCTGCGCGCCCTCTCGCGCGGGCGGCGGCGGGCAGGGCGGCGAGGGCGGCAGGGAGGGCGGCGGCGAGGGCGAGGGCGGCGCGGGTGACGGGGGCGACGGCGAGCCGCGCGGGTGGCGGTGGCGATGATCAAGGCCTCCAAGGTGGGGTCGGAGCAGATGCGGTCGGAGGATCGCGCCAGATCGCCGATGCATCGGCGATGCGGCTAGATATGGAACCCGATTCCCTCCAAGCCGGCGTCGCCGATGCATCACCGATGCATCGCCGATGCATCGCCGATGCATCTTCGATTCTTCGCCGATGCATCAGCGATGCGGCGCGATCCTCCGACCCCATCTACTCGGACCCCATCCAGGAGGCCTCTGGAGGAGGGGGGCGGTGATGGGCGCCGACTGGAAGGCGTCCGCGGGAACGAACGCCCTCAAGCCAGAGAGTTTGTCGGCGAGCGGCGCGCGGTCCGCTCTGGTCGGAGCCGCTTCCGCCACCGCCATCTGGAGGAGCTGTGGCCAGGAAGCCAGGCCCTCCGAGCGGCAGCGAGGACGGCGACGAGGACGAGGGCGGCGAAGGCGGCGACGCGGGAGCGGGAGGGGCGGGGGCGGGATGGCGAGGGGACGGCGGGGGCGGGGGGCGGGGAGAGGAGGGGCGGGCGGACGGGGGAAAGGGGGGAGAGGGGAGGCAGGGGGCGATGGATGATGGAACAGAGGAGGGTGGAGGGGGGGAGAGGGGGGAGGGAGGACGGAGGGGCGAGTCCAGAGGAGGCGAGGCGGGGCAAAAAGGATGGCAGGACAGAGGATGGGTGGACCTCCAGAAGCCTCAGATGGCAGTCGGAGGCCCCTGGGGAAACAATCGATGGTTGGTAAAGATGTAAGGACAACGTGCCCCGAAGAAAAGCTGATCCTCCCTGCTCCCTCCTCAGGAGGTCTCTGGAGGTCTCTGCAGAGTTTCCCTGAGGAGTCCAGAGGCCTCGCTCGCTCGCTCGCTCCTCCTCCCCATCAGTTGCCGTGACACGTCCGCTGCGTCTGCGGGGCCCTCCTCTCTTCGGGCAAGTTTTGGCTCGGCGATTTCCTCGTGGTCGGAGCATCGTGGTGGGAGAGCATCTCCTAGATGGTCTGCCCTGTCGCTCTCCGCTTCGACGGACAGCGACGACAACGAGACTGACGGCAACGGGGACGACGACGTCACTGCGGCCTTCAGGTCGCATTCCTGAAGTTCGTGACCTGGGACGACGCCAGGAGGGACAGCTCCAGGCTGTTCAAGATACAGGACGGACCACCTGGGGGCTAGGGTCGAAGAAAGAGTTGCATACGTAAATCAAATTCAGACCCGCGCGGATTTTTTTGGATCGGCGTTGGGCACCCTTGACGTCCCCCCCTGGTGCCGCCCCTGGCGCGCTCCGCGCGCAAGAGAGGAGGGTCTGGCGCCGCCGATCCAAGAAATCCTCGCGGACCTCCGAGAACGTAACAAGGTTGATGCCTTATTTTAGTTTCATCCATAGGGGTCGGGGTAGGGGGTGGATATGAGCAGAGAGATGATGAGAGGGAGGCTGGGAGCAAGAAGAGGAGGATGATGAGGATGCTTGGGAAGTTCCATGTGGAGTTGGAGAAGGGGCATCGAAGCATGGGCTAGAGGAGCAGGACAGAAGAATGGATGATTCGACAGGCAAGCGCCTGGAGAGGAGTAAGGGAGAAGAGATAGCAGACGGGTTTCCCCCTCCTTCCCACTCGCTCCCTCCATTCGTTACCGTGCCATGTTGTCGAGTCAGAGGCAGACGACTAGCAGCCGCTCCCGTACAGCGGTAAGATGAGATTGGCAGTGTCTGTTTGCCCACGCGCTTCGGCGTACGGCACTCCGTTCATTCGTTTCACTCGTTCCCCCTTACTATCCCTTCCATGCTCTCCAGACTTGCTATCCCCCTTCCCTCCACCCCTTGTTCTTCACTTCTCCTTCGCCCCCCCCCACACACACACACACACACACACACACACACACACACACACACACACACACACACACACACACACACACACACACACACACACACACACACACACACACACACACACACACACACACACTTCCTCCTCCCCTTCTCACCATAGCTTTCCGTGCTCCCCATCCTCCCCGCCCCCTCACCGTCACTTCTCCTCGCCCTCCTCCCTCCTCTGCCATCTCACTCCTCTCCTCCTCCTCCTCCTCCTCCTCCTCCTCCTCCTCCTCCTCCTCCTCCTCCGCTCCCCCGTCTTCCATCCCCCTCCCCAGCCCTCCTCGAGGTCTGCGGAGGCTCATGGAGGGCATTAGCCGCCCAGAGACCTCGATCCTCGATCATCGCCTCCTCCCATGCAGCTTGTTGCCGATGGACGCGAGCCTGCGCAAAGAGGGGCAACCGCTGCAAAGGGCAATAGTGACGCCATCAAGAGGCCTCGTGGTGGCTCAGCAGGAGGAAACAGCGCACAGACATAGTTGATTGTCGATTCCCTAGAACATATGGGAAGGGGGGGGAAGGCAAACATCCAAACAATATGGAAAAACATGTGGAATCCTGGGAGTTGTGTGTTGTTGTTTGTGTGTCCCTGGGCCCCTTAAACTTGATCCTCGATCATCGATGCTCCACTCTCCTCCTCCTCCTCCTCCTCCTCCTTCTCCTCCTCCTCATGTTCCTCCTCCTCCTCCTGCTGCTGCTGCTGCTGCTGCTGCTGTCGGCTGGTATGCAGTTCTCCTGTAGCCGTTCCCAGCCCTGCCCCCCAAACAGGGAGACAGGGCCGGTATTGAAAGGTGGCGCCACAAGCCAAAAGGGGGAGTTTCCCTAGGAGGAGAGGGAGAAACGCGGAGGGGGACGACACGGGAGGAACAACGGAGGGAAAACACGCACGACGAGGCGAGGGAGAGGGGGGGGAGGTCCCAGCGATTCATTGAACCCCACGAGCGTCCCCCCCCCCCCCCCTTGGAGTACGGAACGCAGGACAGAGGAACGGCGGTGGATTGAAGTGGGGGGGCGCGGGGGGGGGGGTCGGTGAAAAGCTTGGGCCTTCCTATGACGGTGAGCGGTAGCCATGGGACTCCTCCTCCTCGTCGTCGGAGCCCCGGCCCGCACCCAGAGATGCAGAAGCCCCCCCGCCCAGCAGAGCCCGCCGCTCGGCCGCGTGCTCCCCGCGCCCCGTCCCCAGGACGAGGGGTACGGCAAGTCTCCCGAGGCGCTCTCGGAGGTCCGTGCCGTGCTGGCGCGCGCAGGGAGGAGGAGGGAAGGGGGGAGGAGGAGGGGTAAGGAGGAGGAGGAGGAGGAGGGGTAAGAATGAGAGGAGGGGAAGGAGGAGGAGGAGGAGGAGGAGGAGGAACGAGTCTTGGGAGCGTTTTCGGTCCGTTGTTGGTCTCAGGAGACCTCCAGAGGCAACCTGGTTACCTCCTGAGAGTTCTGGGAACCTCCAGAGGCTTCTGGAGACTTCGGTGGAGGAGAAGCGTGTTCTCCCCCTCCCCCTCCTCCGTGTCTGGGCCTTTGAGCCCCCCCTTCTTTGGCCCCAGCTGGACTCCCCTGGAAGTCACGACCAGAGAGCGCTCTAGGAGAGGTGCTGGGGCCGATTTCGAGGGGGGAGGGGCAAGAGGAGAGGGCAGATGCGGGGGGAGGGGCGCCGAGGCGAGAGCGGCGATGCTCGCCCGCTCGCGCGCGACCCCGCTGTCAACGACTTGGCGAGCAGACGCGTGCGCTGCGCCCGAGCGGCAGCTCAGTTCTCGGGGAAAAATGAGCGCGGCGCCAAGGCGAGAGTCATTCGTCTCCCTTCTCTCACGGGGTGCGCGCCTCGTCCCTCTCCCGCGACGCATTTGGGCAACGCCGACGCCACCACGCTGAAAAGAAGTGTCGACTTCGTATGGTTCTGGATGTCAGGACGGGACGTCCTGGATCTGGCCCTTCTCTTCCACAGAGAGGTCAGATTGGCAGTACGGCAGGTTCGCGTAGTGTCGACGCGGCGGTGACCCCGCCGCGGGCGTTCAAGATTGAGCGTTGCCAGTGGTCCAGAATCGGCCGATATGAAGCGATCTGAAGATCGAGAAGCCGACGATGGTTCAAGGTTGAGCGATCCAAGTGGCGTCAGAGACCACCGCCTGGGCCTTCGCGGCAAAAGCATACCGCAGAGAAGGAGGAGGATTCTTTCAGCGATCCAAGCAGTGTCAGAAGCCGACGCCTGGTTCGTCGCGGCACGAGTCTGCCGCATATGATGAGGAGCAGCAACAAGAGATGATTCCCGCGGAGGTTCACGTGCACTGGCGCGTGGTGGGGCCGACTGGGGACACGGTACACTCCTCCAGGCGCCTGGCGGCAACAGATGGAGCGAGGTCAGGAGGAGGAGGAGGAGGAGGAGGAGGAGGAGGACGGAATTGAGAGGAAGAGGAGGAGGAGGAGGAGGAGGAGGAAGAGGAGGAGGAGGAGGAGGAGGAGGAGCAGGAGGAGGAGGGAGGAGAAGGTGGTGGAGGAGGAGGAGTGTCGCGGGACCTTGTGCCTGGCTGAGTTCGAGTCGGTCCAGCTTGCAGACCGGAGGTCTGACCGGACGAATGTTCGCCAGTTGTTGGAGGCAGGTAGGTGCGTTTTTTTCTAGAGGGATTGAGGGAGCAGGTGCTAAAGGCTGGGTGGGCCCAGTTCGAAAAGCTATGAGCATCGCACGGCAGCTGCCGTATCGTACAGATCCTCGGGGTAACGTCCTCACGTCGCCCCAGGCCATTTTGGCAGATGTTCGTTCGAATTTCGCCAGTGTTAACACGCCGAGATCATGCTGCCCCATGTCCAAGCTCGGAGGTACAATAGAGGAGGGCGCGATCTAGGTGCTGGGATGTCACGCTCAAACGAACACATCATTACCTTCCGCCAATTCGCCTCTCCCTTCAAAGAAGCACCACAGGTCACGGCGTCTGGTCCCGACGGGATCCCAGATTAATTGTTGAGCGTTGCTCCAAGAGCCATGGCTCTGCTGGTGCACCCGCTCATAATCAAGGTGCAGCTTCACGTGCAAGAGCCACTGTCGTGGCAGGGTGGCACAGTGGTTCCTTTGTATATGGCCTGGAGTCTCGCCTGCGCGCCTTCGCTCGGCAAATCCTCATGAGCAGCATCGCCAAACACCACGCAGGTTTCTCTGGAAACAACTTTCTATCATGTCCTCCTCTGGGGAGACGCAGTGCGGGGGGCTCGAAGGTCGTTCTACCACCATGGACCCGCACAGCGCCGGCACCTTTTCTTCCTCACCCAGCATTGGCAAATATCGGCCACGCTGGTTTTCACTGGCATCATAGCGGCGCTTATTATGTAGTGCGCGATGTTGTATTCCCCATCCCACATTCCCCGATGGTTTGGCATAGAATTTCGACGCCGCAAATACCCCTTTACCGTTGCTTTCTGCCCTCGAGGCTGCCCTGGACCAGCCAAGCATTCTAGGTTTCCTGAACCCTGTCGAGCATCTGGTGGCCATTGCACCAGAGGCACATGCGCACCCGTAATTCTAAGTGGCGGGGGATGACAACAAAGTCTGCCGCATTCGTGCTGGGATTCGTCCAGGGGGGCCCGTGGTTGAATCGGTGTTCATTGTATTTGTTTGCCACGCTTCTGGTTAGGAACATGGAGGATCTGCCTGAAATATGCGAGACTTTTGCTCCCTCTCGACGACCTCCCGGAACTGTTTTTCTCTTCCTATTGGCGAGCACAAAGCAAAGGAGACCGCGGAGGTTGTTCTCGCGCATGACATCATGGTGCTGAGTGTTGCACCGGTCAACAGAACAGTCGTATTGGGGAACTGATCGGGCGCGCTGTTGACATCCTGCGCGCAACCATGAGGGTTGTAATTGAGTTGCTTACCAAGGACAACGGCAGCTTTGATCGATGTCCAGGGCCCCGGATCGCCTTGTGCACGAAGGATTTGTTCCGTTGTTTGCTCAGCCCAGTATCCTCGCCAAGGCACTGGCAAGCCATCAACTTGGTGTCAAAGTATAAACATGTAGGCAGCATGTCACGTTGTTTAGGTACGCCAGACAGTGAGTTGGCATCTCGGAACCAGCAGTTTCATGTTGCCCCTCAACTCCTTGGCCCGCTCAGTTTTCCCGCAGGCCGATTTCCCGCCCCCCACGAAGCTCACGCGATTGCACTCGTTGCGAACTGCCGAACACTTACTCTGCGGCATGGCACAGCTGGGCGCGCATTCTCTAGAGTCATTGGAGGCCGCACACCTGAAGGGCCTTCTGGCGGCAGCCCGATTACGAACGAGACCCGATGACTCCCAGCATTCGGTGAACAACGGTTTGGGTCATATTGGTGAGGCCCCGTGATCCGCATAATAGGTCCCCCGTCAAAGAAGGTCGCTTCTGGATTTTAGGGGCCCATCATAAGGAATATTGGCCGGGGGCGTCGAGATCTCACCTGGCGAAAGCTCACCCGCCCACAGACCTCGCCGGCTCTCGAGCTGGGCCAGGAAGAGCATGCCACATATGCCATCGCGATTTGCCTCCCAAGGTCCTAAGGCATGTCCGCCACGGTGCGGAAACATGTCTCCAAGGTTTGATCCAACGCACGGGGGGCGGCCCTCACCTCTGGAAGAAGCTGGGGCTCGCCGGCAGCAGGGCCAAAAGGAGGCCACCACCCTCAGCGCCATTGGGTTTCGCCCTGCAGCCGTGAGACCCACCCGTTTGAAGTCTACGGCCTTGCTCTGCCCCCGCCGCCCCCTAGCCGCCTACTCCTGTCGACTAGACGTAAGAGTGACCTTTCGCCGGAGTGACGGGCCCAACGGGGTCTTCCGGTCGCCGAATGCGATGCGATAGTAGCGTCTTGCGCGCTTGGGTTTGCCCCCCCTGCGGCCCCCCCAAAACTGCGCGCCAAATGTCATTCTTACCCAGGGTCACTCTTGCGCGCAGTCGATCCTGGGCCCACGCGCGCCTGCCAACCCCAACCGCGGCGCGCAACGGAGCGCAGATCCCTTTTCACCCGCCCCGCTCCGACATCCCCAGGGTGCGTCGCGCGGCCCTCTTCGCCCTCCACGCTCGCGGCGGCCCGCGCCGCCCGGGGGACGTCCAATCCCATTTTGAAGGCTTGGTTTCGGCCGCAAGACTTCTCTTGGTCACGGCCAGCCTGCCACAGTGGTCAAGTCGCCCGCGACAGGCTTACCCTCTGACCTCGTCGAGTATGGGCGAGCGATGGGTGTTTTCGCGGACCCTGCATGCGCGGCGTGGCCTGCAGCGCGACAGTGCGTTCTGGGAGGGCAACATAGGCCCCCGCCCTCTTAGATCAGTCACTTCTGGGGCGTCCCCACGGGCTCCAGGCCCGAATGGAAAACTTGGGCTGGGCAACGCTCGATACAGGTCGAGTCCCGTTTTCAGGTGTGCTTCTTACATGGTTGGAGCGGCCGGCGCGTTTGCCCACCCCGCGCCCCTTTCTGACCCCCTGGCCCCCTCCAGCTGATGCTTGTCAGAGGCTGTCCACCTGCGCCCTTTGGGCCGGCAAGACACCCGCGGCAATTTGATCTTCGTGCGGGCAGGCCAGTGCGAGTTCGCAGCAACCGCGGTCGAGCCTACTCAAGTCTTCGTGGTCGGCCAGCCCACGTTTCGCAGAGTTCTGTCTGGCCTCGCGTGCACGGGACGCTGCGCTCACAGAGACAGTTCAGGCAGAAGCCTTCGCGAAGCTGCAAGCCGCAGTTTTTCCGAAGGCCCCCCGAGCAACGCAATCCGAGCGTTGTAGTTCCGAGGCGCGCGTTTATTTTGGCAGCGCAGCTGTTCCGAGCTGCCAATGTTCGGCTGCCAGAAGCGGCCGGGGAGCGTTATCCAGGCATTGGTGCAGCTCTCATGGAGGACTTCAGCCCCTTCTATTCCCCCCTTTTAACTCTGAAATTGGTTATCCCCTCTTCGCTTCCCCTCCTGGCAAATTGGCGCGTCTGCCTGCGACGCCAAGCCTGCATGCGGGGTTGAAAAGAACGTTGAGTACGCCGAGGAAGAAGGGACCCAGGCGGGGACCTTAGATTGTTTCGGGCGTCTTGCCATTCGTTGCGTTGCCAGCTCACGATGTCCTCTCTACTTGCTGTTGCCCTGTGAGGAAAGCGGAGCGGTGTTTACAAAACCGAACCAATTCTTGCATTACCATGAAGGCGGTGGCACGGGACAGTTCGGCGAAGGGGGGCAGGAGGCGACGAGGGCGGTGCCCATCACCCGGGCGTGCGCAGCATTTGACCAATTCTGGCAGTAATGGGGATGGCGCCAGGTGTGCGCGGCACCTAAACAAGTTTTTGCAACATCAGTATTGTCATTTCTCTTTCTCTTTCTCCTTCTTTCCTCCCCGCCTAGTTGGGATCCAGCGCCTGGTTGTTATTTTCGTGTTCCAGTGCCGTCGCGAAGGAAAGAGTAGAGAGGAGGAGGAAGAGGAGGAGGAACAGGAGGAGGAACAGGAGGAGGAGGAGGAGGAGGAGGAGGACGAGAAAGAGGAGGAAGATGAGGAGGAGAGGGAGGAGGAAGAAAAACACGAGGAGGGTGAGGAGGAGGAGGAGGGGGGAGGGAGGAGGAGGAGGTGCTGCATCTAGCAGAAGGTGTTCAAGTACAGTCACGCAAGCAGGCTGAACGAAAAAGCTGAGACATCTGCACGGGCACCAAGAACACAAACTCAGCACAGTTTGGTGGGACCCCCGCGCCAGAGCGGACGGAACGCGTGGAACCGAAGCGAGGATTCCAAGCCTTCCCCGATCCTCACTGCCCTCCCCCATGATAGGCAACTGGACGGCAAACGCTAAAGGCTGCGTCAGATGACTCGCTGTGGCCGTCTAGGGCACTCGGGAGGAAGGGCGGACGAAGGGAGGGGAAAAGCTAAAGAGAACGAGGTGGAGGGAGAAGGCTGGAGCGCAGACCGATACCTCCTGCTCTCGTGACAACCGTTCCCTCTGGACTCAAAGGCTGGAGGAGCACGGATGATTCTACCATTGCTACCCCCCATATCCTTATTGAAATTTCCAACCTCTTTTAAGCCCCCACCTTCTATAATGGGCAACTGGACGGCACACGCTACAGGCGGCGACAGATGTATTGTTGTGCCCGTCCAGGGCACTCCGGAGGAGTGGCGGAGGGAGGACGGGGTAAAGCATAATGATATGCGAGAACGAAGGAGCGAGGTTGGGACCCAAGGTTGCATCCTCCAGCTCGTTCCTTCACGCGGTGGCCTATGGCAATTACGTGGCAAGGCAGTTCAACTCTTCTCCACTCCGAAACTCACCTGCACCACGCATCCAATTTCTCCACATAAGAAGCCTTGCTGGCCTCGGCCCAAGCCCTCGACAGGTGGCTCTGGCTGAAAA